TTGACCCCGGTTTCCTCAATCCTTAATTAAACCTATATCTACTTATAATTTCACTACTTTGACTACGGGCTCCGCCAGTCCTATTATAAAATAAACTTAGATCTACTTATTTCATTATGTTGACCCCGGGGTCCACCGATCCTTAGTTAAACCTAGATCTACTTATTTCACTACGCTGACTCCGGGGTTCACATCCTAAAACCTAACATTTTGTTAGGTAGACCCCGGGGTCCACCTATCCTTTTGGCTAGATAGACCCCGTAGTCCGCCTATCCACTTTCTTGATAATAACTGAAAACAATACATGCCAGTTGTCATTTATAGTGAAGAAAAATGAGGGGAAAAAATATAATTAGGTAGACTTTAATTTGTCCAAAAAATTGCAAGTGCAAGTGAAGATCATAAAATAATTTTGTTATTTTCTGGTCACCTTTCCAAGGACCTTAAATTGATTCTACATCACTTGTCATGTACGATACGGCTGTGAAGGAAAATGGATGTGAAGAGTTTTAAAGAGATAATAACGTAACTTGTAAAGAAAACAATGCTTTACATTGGTTTGGTTATTTTGACTACATATGTGGCCTAAATAAGGTAAGGGAGGGGGGTTTAGCTTATTTAGGCCACAGGTGTGGCCTACATAAGGTAAGGGAGGGGGGTTTAGCTTATTTAGGCCACAGGTGTGGCCTAAATAAGGTAAAGGAGGGGGGTTTAGCTTATTTAGGCCACCTGTGGCCCAAATAAGGTAAGGGAGGGGGGTTTAGCTTATTTAGGCCATATGTGGCCTAAATAAGGTCACCCAAACTCTAAAGAACTGAGATTGAACACCAAGTAGAGGATCTTCAAAGCAAACGTGAAGACGTGTTCTACTGTATGGTTCAGAGACATGGAGGCTCACAGCATCAGCAGCTGGGAAACTGTAGAGCTTCATAAATGGATGCCTAAGAGTAAGACGGATAGTAAATAGTGGGGATCAAGTTGTACAATATCGAATCACAAATGCTCAACTGTGGGAAAGAACATGCCAACAGTAAAGGAAGACATACATGTGAAGAAATAGAAATGGATTGGATACACCCTGAGGAGACACCCGACAAGCATCATCTGACAGGCTTTGACGTGGAACCCACAAGGAAAACGTGAGAAAGGAAGACCAAATATGACATGGAGGCGAGCGGTACATGCGGAACTGGAAAAAGTGGGAACATCAAGGAAACTACTAGAAAGGGATGAACAGGACAGGCTTCAAAATGTTGTTGATGGCCTATGCTCCACTTGGAGTTTAAAAAGGACAAAAGAGGGAGAGAGAGAGAGAGAGAGAGAGAGAGAGAGAGAGAGAGAGCGCGCGTGTGTGTGTGTGTGTGTGTGTGTGTGTGTGTGTGTGTGTGTGTGTGTGTGTGCCCTGGACGTTGTTTCTTGTTTATCTTTCCTCAACAGAAGTTATAGAACAAAAATGTGTACAAGTTACATTATAATAAATCACCTGTACTGATATCATACACATCATCAAGCCATTTAATAAGATGTGCAGGTGAAAATCTTATGAGAGTTCGACTGTAAAGTCCAATAAGTTTTGAGGTGGAGCTTTTTCTTACGTTGCCCGAACATTTGGAATTTTGGAATTCCCTCCGAAAAGAAACACGTTTATTTCATCAGAGGGAATGATTTTATATATTATATTATATACATATATAAACATAACATATAAATAGGTACGTACAAACACTCACAAAGAGAGAAATCATCGTCATCATCATAATTATATTATATGATTATTGTTATTGTTACTATTGTTTTATTATTATTACAGTTATCTATAAATTTCACTTGCACTAACTTGATCTGCCTTATATCTCCAGCCACATCAGGTGCCTCCTTGGAGGCAAAGTTGTCGAGGAAGTCTTTGAAATAAATATGGCCTCCCGGCTGGTGTTGTGGCATGAACATCATCGATGCCATGTCGGCTTTGATCTTCTACCGTCTGGGAATCACCTCAGTCTAGCGAAACAAGACACACGCACGAGAAGATCTTGCGAACAAACTTGGTGTGGTGAATGAAGCGCTTGGAGTTGGAGTAGAGTTAGACCGGTGCTTTCGTCCACTCTGCCACCGCTTGTCCAAGTAAGTAACTCGGCGCTGACAGTGACAGTTCATTTGCTTAAATAGCAATCGAGGCCGTTTCTTTCAAATTCTCTTTTTGTTTTTTTCTCTCTCTCTTAGCAGCTCGCCCCCCTTGACAGTCGAGCCGCTTGGGTGACGTATTTGTGTGAATTTCCGAAAATTATTCATCATAGAAAAGGGCCTGTGTTTGGCAATGCGCTCTTTTCAGGAAAAGATTCGAAAGTTCGTCCCGAGATTGCGCAGGAATCAAACTAGGCCAAGGACCAGAGCGATGTACCCGTGAGGCCTGGTGCGCATGCCCTGTCACCCACCCATATGAAGTCTCTCTCTCTTCCTCTCTCCCTCTCTCTCTCCCTCTCTCTCTCTCTCTCTCTCCCTCTCTCTCTCTCTCTCCCTCTCTCTCTCTCTCTCTCTCTCTCTCTCTCCCTCTCTCTCTCTCTCTCCCTCTCTCTCTCTCCCTCTCTCTCTCTCTCTCTCTCTCTCTCTCTCTCTCTCTCTCTCTCTCTCTCTCTCTCTCTCTTTTCTTCCTTTGCGTAACCGGCTTTACTTTCGACGCAGATGAGTCGTAAAGCTCTATAGAAATATGGGTTTGATTTATTTATATTATTTTATTATCTTATTTACTTATTAGTTTTGTTGTTTTTTCTATTTGTTTATTATAAGGCCTATTTTAATTGTTTTTTAAATTAAATTTATATTATATTTAATTTTTAAAAAATTATTTTAACGTTGTTGGGTTTTTTAATGTATAATTTATTTATTATTAAT